TAATCCAGCTGCGTTCACACGTGCACATTTGTTTCGGCGTAGCGTCGCAAACGAGCATTTGCTCTGGAGCAAATTTTTAAACCACCTCCCTGAGGTGGATCAAATTTGGTCCGGTATAAGCTCTTTAGTGGAGCTACGTCGGAGCAAATGTGCACGTGTGAACGCTCGACTGGCTTTGCTTCGGCGCAGCGTCGGACCAAACGTTGCCGTGTGCACGGGGCTTATGTCTTGACAACCGGTTTTCCACATTTGAGTTTCTGCGTGTAGGAATTAAGTGTATCAAACAGTGGTCCAAAAACCCAGTTCTCTCTCTCTCTCTCTCTCTCTCTCTCCCTCTCGCTCGCTCTCTCTTTCCTCTCCCCCTCTCTCTCTCTCTCTCTCTCTCTCTCTCTCTCTCTCTCTCTCTCTCTCTCTCTCTCTCTCTCTCTCTCTCTCTCTCTCTCTGAGTTTGATGGCTGGGTGTGTCGAGTACTCTTGAGAGAGAGAGAGAGAGAGAGAGAGAGAGAGAGAGAGAGAGAGAGAGAGAGAGAGAGAGAATCGGGAAGGGGGCAAACACTTTTTCACACCACTCAATTAATCAGTATTGATGAGGAGGAAGCGAAGAGAGACATGCTGCTGCTCTTTTGGACAAGCCCAATCACCCACTCTTTCTTGCCCTCAGGCTCTACCAACCCTCACCCCCGCCATACACATAGCAACCACAACAGAATAGACAGTATGCCACAGGGTCAATAGCGTGACTAGACTAGAAGGTGCTGTGAAGATACGCAGCCAATCAGGTCACGGGATAAATCTACTCGTGCTGTCATTGGTCGACGTCGCACCGGAAACCAATCATGTGCCTTGAATGAGTGCCCGTTACATATACAGTACAGGCTCTGAGTCACTTTACATTTTTTTTCTGAATACAGTATTTTGGGGGGAAAAAAGCATGATGACAGAAGCTGCGATAAATGAAGTGCAAAATAGCGAGATCACAATTTTTTTTTTTTTTTTTTATAAATAAAATGTTTTACTTTTTTCCCCCCCAATGCCATTGAGTGATCTGGTGCCAACTGATCTTTTTCTACAATACAAACATTTATTTTGAATGCCAAAACATAATACTTCCGCCATATAACATCCATCCATCCACTATCTGAAGCACTTATCCTTATCAGGGGCGCGGGCGTGCTGGAGCCTTTCCCAGCTGTCTTGGGGCAGCAGGTAGGGCACACCTTGAACTGGTTACCAGCCAATCGCAGGGCACACAGACGAACAACCATTCGCGCTCACAGTCACACCTAGGAAAAATTTAGAGCATTCAATGAACCTTTCATGCGTTTTTGGGGAATGTGTGGAGTACCCAGAAAAAAAACACGCAGGCACATTGAGAACACCGGATTCGAAACCCACAACCTCTACACTCTGAGGCGGACGTTCTAACTATTCACCCACCGTGCCACCTGCCATACAACATAACAGTCTAAATTTGAACATATCTTGTACAGTTTCAAACTGGCAAAAGCGCACAAAATTCCAAAAATATTTACGTTTTTGTTTTACTACTTTTCCTGAACTAGTTGCTGTGGCTTTCAACTTATTTTGGTAGGTCTCGAACTCCTCATGTCATACTGACTATAAAATATAGATTGTTCAGTTGTATTTGGCTCCAAAATAAAAATAAATAACTTAATCAACCATATAATACAACCATATCAATTTGGTTTGAAGCGTGGTCTATAATTATAATACAAAATGGTAGAAATTGCACTAAAGACAAATGCAAACATTTCTTTTTGCCTGTACGCCATCTTCTGTATTGGAAGTTTGACAAGTGCTGAATTACATTTGACTTTCAGAGATTGTTATTGTTACGCACAATAAATTGTGACATGATTTGTCACGTGTAACCTTGTCTTGCTTCCAAACAAGATGTAATAATCATCCATTTGGCTCTTCCACTTTTGGGCATCATAACTTACTTGTTCTACATCTGTCATTTACTATTTGAATATCGATCAGCATCATTCAACACATTTTCTTCTGAATGTGGTTGAGTTCATGCTCATTTTCTCTCTCTTTTAATCCTAATTTTAAAATGTATCTGTTGTGATTCACTCTTGCTCTGGGTCTAGCCATGCATGAATTCAGAGTAACCTTATTCACTTTGCCTTATCCCAAAACCAGCATTTATGTTGCCATGGTTCACCTTACTCTGGTCGTCTGGAGATATCAATACCGGATAATCATTTTTCAAATCATTGCTTCATTGTGACCTTCATCAAAACTCATGTTTTTGTCCTTATCTTTGCCTCTTCCTGGCCCCCTTTCCCAAACCTCTCTACTTTATTTTTGTTTGACATGTATTTTGTTTTTTCCCTTCTCAACTGCCCCTGCTTCTTTCATGCTCCTTTACACAGGTGGTGAGTCAGCGATTCCCACAGAATAGTATTGGTGCAGTGGGCAGCGCCATGTTTCTGCGATTTGTAAATCCAGCTATTGTATCCCCATATGAGGCTGGCATCCTGGAGAAAAAGCCTCTTCCTAGAATCGAACGAGGTCTCAAGCTCATGTCTAAGGTAAGGACATTAAAACGATATTTATAAAATAATAATGTGAATAGTTCGAAACAGCACTGCATTTGTTCGTCTTCTGAATTGTGATAATGGTCGATGATTTGCCACAGCCAAGGTGATGGATCATTGCTGTACGTTCATTTCAGTGCAGTTGGGGCATGTTTAAAGGCTGTGATGTTAACCTTTTAAAAATGTATGTAAACTGTTTTTGTATGTGTTATACTGGAGTGTGAACAGAAATGAGTTTATATGAGGAAAAAATTCATTTTTTTCAGTAATTTTAATAAGAAAATTAAACTCAAATTAGGTTTAATTTAGATTAAGAAATACAAACATTTTGAAAATATACTATATTCTTCCACGCAGTGCTATTAATTTATTGGCTGAAACATTTGGTCCCACATACAGTATATTCTGCAGGACAATGCAATGTCACTGAGAAACAGTTTTAATTTTAGTCGAATATTACAGAATAACTTAACTGTCAGTGGTTTGAAGGTGTTCCCTCACAGAGACACATTCACCTTAATCCTGGTCTGCACACATACCACCCAGTGTTTCATGTTATTTTTATCACATCAGACAATCTTGATAAAGGAGATGCCTATGTAAGCACTCTCTGTCTCAAAGCTTAGAACATTGGCAGACTATATTCATGGTCGTTGTAAGTGTAAATGTGGTCTTTTCCTTTAGATTTTGCAGAGCATTGCCAACCATGTCTTGTTTACAAAGGAAGAGCACATGAGACCCTTCAATGATTTTGTGAAGAACAACTTTGATTCAGCCCGAAGGTAGGACAATCCCAATGTTAAAGGTACTGACTGTAACCACCATTGCGTCCCTCGCCTGCTACCAGCTGAGAATTGCGTAGAAATAGTAAATCGTGATCAGTGGCATTGTTAAATGAAAGAAGTGTTTCCTTACCTGGAAAACCGCACTCGGCTTTGTTACGAGTAAGCGTGATCCAAACATCAATTTCTGTGGCCAGACAGGTAACAAGTTAGTCATTTGTTGTAAGAACCAACAAGTGCTACCCCAAAGCCCAATAAAAATAATTAGCCTATGGCAACCACTTGCTACTTTGAACAGGAAGTGAGTAGCTGACTGCATTCTGCCGACGTCCAGACGGCAGACAGGAACAATATGTCAGGCAGACTATACCCGCGGCTAGTTCGATCACCTCGAGTGCCAGCTGGACCACAACTTCTGCTGTCTATCCTAACACTACTCAAGCAACCTCTGCTAGCTGAGTTGATATCCCGGCCAGTTGGACCTTCACCTCGACTAGCCAGGCTAACACCTTTGCCAGCTGAGCCGAAACCTTGGCAGGCTAGGCTAACAACACTGCCAGTTAGACCTTCAGCTCCTCTGTCAGGGCTCACATTGTAATGTAACTGTGCTTTAATGGTAAATTATGTTATGCTACAGTAATAGTGTTTGTGTTTGCTTGCCAGCGTGTTTTAACTGCATCAGCGTGTGTGTTGATGTGTCACAATTTGTACATGCACCACCCTAGTAAGGATAAATGCTTCAGAATATGGATGGATGGATGTGTGTTTTGGCTTCCTCCTTTCCTACTAGCCTGGAGTCCCAGTGTCCCATTGCGCTTCAGGACAATTGTTTTTATTTAATGTGCCTTTAATCTGATTGTTTTTACAGTTTCAGTAGTTTTGTCTTCTGAATACGTAATCCTGGCAACATCGACAGACCTCCGTGACTCCCCAAGCCTGGTTGCAACTGAATGAAGATTTTATATCAGGGTCTCAAACTCGATTCCTCGGGGACCGCTTTCCTGCATGCTTTCCATCTCTCCTTACTGCAACACATCTGATTCAAATTATTTGAAATCATTATCAGGCTCCTGCAGAGCTTGTTGATGAGCTGATCATTTCAGTCAGGTGTGATGCCACAAGAAGATATGAAAAACATGCAGGAAAAAGTGACACTTTAGGACCGAATTTGACATCATGTACTGTAAATGTCATTTGCGTATTATTGAATTGTGTCGTTTCTTTGACTTTTGTAATTGATGTATATGTTACATTTTCTGTTGTACTGCAATGTTGTGGAAGAGCCCAACTGGCGACTGGAGTTAACAATTAGCATTAGGTCTAGCCGCCATATGCATCAGCCGCAAGACTGTATTTTCCCTTTTCCCGTAAAGAATTATTGTAATTATTACTCCTCTAACAACTTTTGGCATATATTTTTGAAACACAGTGTATATGATTATTATTAGAGTATTAATTCAAATTTTAATTGTAATTATTAAGGTATGTTGGAAACAAAGTCAAGCACCATATTGTGGTCCTCCCAGGTTGCCGCACCTGCCCTATTGCGGCGCCATTGCTGATGGGGATTGACTCAGATTAGACTATAATGTGTCTGAAGATTTCAATTGCTTCACTTTTTAGTCTAACTGGGTCTTCATTCCTTGTTGCCACAGTTTTTTCTTGGACATAGCATCTGACTCTCCACCCAGCGACTCTGTGAACCACAGCCTTACCTTCATCAGTGACGGTAATGTGCTCGCCCTCCACCGACTGTTATGGAACAACCAGGAGAGGATTGGCCAGTACCTCTCCAGCAACAGGTCAGCATGTACGCTATCTAGACAAAAACAACCTGGCATACTTCTTAATTAATCTGTTAATCATTGAGGAGTTCGACTACACCCCAGTTTGACCCCAGAATACTTTTGTGTGTACAGGAATCCCTCCCTCATTTATCGCGGTTAATGGGGACCAAAACCACCCTCGATAAACGAAAATCCGCGAAGTAGCGACCAATTAACATATATATATTTTTTTGTTTTTTTAAGTCCGCAAACGGTCCCCGAGAAGCTGCGATAGTCAGCAAAACAACAGCGAGTCACATAGAGCAACATATACAGTACTGTACTCCATGTATATGAATTTTTTTTTTATGAATATGTTTGAAAAAATCCGCGATGCACTGATGCTGCGATAAACGAACCGCGAAATAGCAAGGGATCACTGTATAGTGAATTAATATTGCACTTCATTTTTTATATTTTATTATTTTGTTTTAAAGTAACTGGCACTGTGTGAATTATTTGCGAATGTAGAAAATGACATTCTATCTCTCCAGAGACCACAAGGCTGTTGGCAGGCGTCCTTTTGACAAAATGGCAACCTTGCTGGCATATCTGGGGCCACCTGAACACAAGCCTGTGGCTGACACTCACTGGTCCAGCCTCAACCTGACCAGTTCCAAATTTGAAGAATTCATGACCAGGTAAGATTACACATAAAATAAAAGCACAACTTTCAAAATAAAACCAACGCATATTTTATATTTTATTTTGACTTCAGGGTCACAGTGAAGGCCAGTCTGAGACTGTATGGCTTTGGCCCCCGGGCCATACTTTGCCAAGGTCTTGTCTAGTCGATTGGGCTCCTCTCACTCATTAAAAAAAGGAGAATTAAATAAAAATGTGTAAACTGCATAAGGGCGGCACGGTGTACAACTGGTTAGCACGTCTGCCTCACAATGCAGAGGTGCGGGGTTCGATTACAGGGCCCCGCCTTCTTGTTCGGAGTTTGCATGTTCTCCCCGTGCCTGTGTGGGTTTTCTCCGGTTACTCTGGTTTCTTCCTACCTTCCAAAAATATGCATGGAAGGTTAATGGAATACAGTACTCTAAATCAGGGGTCCCCAACCGCCGGTCCGCGGACCGGTACCGGTCCGCCGGGCATTTGGTACCGGGCCGCACAGAAAGAACTTGCCTTAATTCCGTTTTATTTATTTCGGAATACGAAAGATGTTTTATTTTGAAAAA